TATACAGGTTCGGTTTTAATCCGATTTGACCGATTTGATCCAATTGGGCGCCGCACCTGATTCGCCCCGCGCCAGCAGGACCCTTTTTATCATATAAGTAAAACAATAAAACTTTTCATATTACTTTTCAGATATCTATTACACCAAGGACTGAATGTTTATTCGTTTTTTGTTGGTTTGTATGTGTTTTTTATACGAAATATAAACATCCATAAATTTTAGTATGCAGAATAGGGGCCCCATCATCATTCTAATTGGGCCCCGTAATTCCTAGCACCGGCGCTGTATATATACGAAATGATGTAGAATTGAGAGAAAGATATGGTAGAATAGTCAAACTAGATCGAGAAAGTAATGAAAATATCAAACTGGGTCGTGATAATAAAAATTAATAACCCTGGTCTAGAAGTCTATTGAACCAAGATCTTTAGGCCCTGTTAGGAGAACCTGTCCAGTTGGTACATGCTTATAAGAAGGATATAGAAGTAGCACAGAGTTTTCCATCCTCTGATAGTGCAGCCCATAACTCCTGGGCTATCATACCAGGCAATAAATAGACAGACTGGCCTAGAACTACATACCACAACTCGTTCGACAAGATTGTTTGAAAATGCCGGTACTTGTGCAGAGGGACCAAGCTTATGCCTACAACGGTCACACCACAAAACCTGTTACCGCTAACCTAGGCTATGCGGAGTCCTGGCTTGGTTCCCCGAAGGTGTACCTGTCCACCAGGTTGTCTCCTCGGGTGGAAGATGTCCATGGGACGACCTACAGAGTCGTTTTGGGGCAAATTTGATCAAATCTGTCGTGTGGAGTTAGAGATGGGTCGAGGGCCCACGTGGAAGAAACGGAAGGGTGGGTCCGTTACCATTAAAAACGGATTGTGTATAACTTTTTCATATATGTTTGAGGTTTTATGCGGACTCCATCACATTCTCCTGCTGCAAAACCTTTGATAGCATGATTATTGGTGTTGCTATCTCGCAATACAAGAGTGGGTAAAATAGATATTGGTCTGGCCACGACCTTTCAAATATGTTTATGCCGTCTGTTATACCGTGTCTGTATTTTTTTTTTTATTCTATGAGATTTTGCAGGATTATGAAAAAGGTCATTAAAAAGAATAAGGTCAACTGCAGTATATAACTCTTTGCTGTGAAAATACACGACGAAATATCGCAGAACAGAAAAGAAATCCTTATTTCATTTATCCCCATGCTTCACAAAAGTTAATAAATCTATAACCTCAGTCATGAATGTATTGTTAAGGTACCTGCGATGATTACAGTAAAGCCGCCCCTTGAAAAGGCAGTCCTTTTCTCTTGTTCTAGTTTAGACTTATCTATTGGATCTAGGCCTCTCACATATTTCAAAAATGCTTCACAATAAAAAACTTTTTCATTTTGAAACACAATAAAAGAACTTTTATGGAACATGATTGATATTGTAAAATATTAACACACAATAAGATTAAAGATAGAATCAAAAGAGCCATAAAAAGATAAAACACGAGATAAATAAAAAGTAAGCCCGTAGTGCGCCTGCGCCCTTACGTCACCAGTGTCAATTCGCCATCGATTGTAGCCGAGAAGTCGTCATGGCGAGTGGGTGAGTCGCTCTCTCTTCCTCTTGTTCTCGCTTTTAAAGACCTCCGAGATGCTGTTTTCCCGTCTCTTTCTACGGTAGATAGATTCCCCGTCGCGGTTTTGACAGGTATAAGTTATTCCCATCTCAAAGTTCTCTGCAGGTGGTAAAAAATTCCCCAAAATAACTTTGGAGGAAACCTGTCTTTTTTTCTTCTTCACGGGGATGTGTCAGGCGGTCAAGATTTTGTTCTCCACGAATGCAGAGTCACGCCACGGGCAAGGGGATTAACTCTCGCCACTGGTAACAGGACGTGCTAGTTCCAGCAAGCTCGTGATTGCTGTGGGTCACGAGATTTAGCAGAAAAAAGGGCGTATTGTGGGGTTCCTGCTTGGGCTTCCGTAGCGTATGGTAAGTGGAGGGTGGAAGGAGGTGGTATTCTCTTGTTCGTGATTGTGTCCTTATTACCTTCTGTTGTTGAGGTTATGTGTTGTGAGGTGGGAATGGTTATTAGATGTGATGTGAGGGTGCTGTTGCAAGTATTGATCTGTAGAGGCGTGTGTGGTGTGGGTCGTGAGGAAGGAGTGGGGTTAAAGTTGAGTAAGTCTTAAATGGTGACACAGGTTGTGGATTGGTTTTTTGTTATTGTGAATGGATGAATTTGGTTAAATTTGGAAATGCCAATATATATAATTTTGGGTGGGCCTGATGTGTTTTTGATAGGTTTGTAGTGTTTTGAGCAGGTCATTTGCTCAATACCGTTGGAAATGACCTGTAGGTTTGATATGGGCCCCGAAAGTTGGGAGAGCTATGATGGGTGCTAAGGAATTTGTGCGAGAAAAATAAGAAAAAATAACGGTAATTCTTTACAGTACGGATGTGGACACCAGATCCTAAGTACCCAACTCTGTGTCACAAACTTTATTTGACATCCTAAATTTCCTGACTGGGCGTGTCCTCCAGGCACTGCTCGAGGGGAGGGCTGATGGGGGGCTCTGCCTCCCAACACCCCCAGGCTAACATTGTCTACACCTTGGTATGCATGGCAAGACATAGTTAAAACTTGGAAGTACCAAGTTCCCTAAGGCTATGAGTGCCGCTTTCTGCGATCTTTTTCCTGTATTTGTGGCATTACTGCATATTACTACTTGTACTGACAACTGCAACTTGTTGTCCTTAACAAGAATATCATCTTCAGTATGCCTTAGGTTCATGCATCAATAAAGATAAACAAAATTGGCAAATCAATCAATAATCAGGCTAATCTTTACTTTTTCGATGCACTAAGCTATGGCTATGGGAAGATGATATTCTTGTAGAGGACAAAATGTTGCAGTCATTGGTACAAGACATAACCAGCAGATGCAAATGATAAACCCACAAATTAAGGAAGAAGATCGGAGAAAGCCCCCACTCTCAGCCTGAGTTCACTCGGTGCTCCCAAGCATCAGCTCTATCTTGCCGTGCGAACAGGTGTGAAGATGCTAGTGAATCCCATTAGCCCTCCCCTGCACAATCACAGCAAATTAAATTCTTGAAAAAAAATTATGACATTGCGTTAGGTACTTGATCTCTGGTAGGTACACCGATATTATAAAGAATTACCAATAATCAAATTATAGTGACATATTTATAATATTTATAAAGATTTGCTTTTTATAACCATCAGTGGTTTGCAAAATTGGTAATTCTTCACAGTACAGATGTACTCGCCAGAAACCAAGTCCCCAACTCCATGTCAAAATATTTTCAGCAATAGAAGTGGCTGTGAGTGGCATGCCAGGAGAGGAGGGTTGATGGGGCTGTCTTCCAACACCCCCCGACAAATATTGCTTTCTTGGTGGTATGCATAGCAAGATAGAGCTGAAACAGGGCACTGAACAGACTTAGATTGTTGGTGTTGTATTTTTCGCGATATTTCCTTTATTAGAGGGTACCTTTTAATTTCTCATGCACCTAAAATGTCATCTGCATTAAATTGTCCGCACTTTTGGGGGGCCTTCTTCCACGTCACCGTGCAACCCATCGGACTCCTTCACGTCCCCCACCCCACCACCGTTCCATCTTCCCTCTTTACCTAAATGTCATCACGTTCATCTTCACGCGCTACGCATACTCTCATCACCGCAAACCCTCCTCGAGCTCACCCCACACGGGCCACGCTCCTCTACCTCTCTTCACCGCTCCATAACGAATTCTACAACCGAACAACGACCGTTGTCCCGTCACCCCAACTTCCATCCACCCCCAGTACACCCGTCCGATCACACACCCTCCCCCCCAAGGCATCCCGGACCACTACAATCGCACTATCCTTACATAACAAACAGCACACTCAACAAGCTTCCTCATACCCATATCCTAGAGCATAGAGATTCTTTCTCGATGCCCCTTCGTCAGGCCCTAACATAGTCTCTATACGATCAATCATAGCTATCACTTGTCCACTGCTCCACTCCTTACACTAATCTCTCACTTAAGTCTGGAGCCCTCCAGGGGGGCTGGCGATCTTTCCAGCAATCACTACGCCATGCTCGGCCTTGTCAACCTCATCTAAACTCACTAATACCCCTCACACGCGCTCCCACGCCGCACCACCACATTCACCTCTCATCACTACTTCTCATAATTATCACCTCATCCAACCAAATCCTTCCGGCCCATCCACCTATCACCTATTGATCACGAACACACACTCACGCATCCTCACACGCCCGCACAACGAAACCCCTAGAACGCCAGGCTAAATCTACCTATCGCGAAACCCCCCTCGTACTAACGAACTCAATCAGATCATCCGCATACATACCAAGGCTACATGCCTTATCACGGCGCATCCACCTTCTACCACATTAACCACTCAACTGTATGATTTCCTAATACCTTCGGCAACCACTCCCTAGCCAATACCGCCAACATTCTCATCCCCTCCATTACCCATCTCAATAGTCACACTCATTTTGTAACTAACATCCAACTAACATGCAGTCCTCTCCAAACACCCAGTGACCCCCGTGCTCTGCCCCTCTCTCCAACATCGCGTCATATTCCACACCACTCAACCACAACTACAACAGCACAACTACCACTTCGAATACAACCCCCATCCAATCACCCATACTACCACAAAACAACTTCAAGCATCCCTACCCCCCACACCTTGACACACATATACCACCCAACACGATCTACCGCTACTCTCACAACTCAATCACCATTACCGCACCAATTTAAACCAAACACACGAGACGTTAGCAAATGCCCGATCCATGACTATATCTCTACAACCCACCCAGAACCGGACCCCTTTATTTCTTCCACTACATCTACGCAATCAAAACACACCATACCTCATACCCTTTGCAGCATCCGAACTATCGTGCCGCAAACTCCCACAACAATCTAATCTTCCTTCCACTACAGCAAAATACTCATCACCACTCAACTTTTGATCCCTAACTTCACTACAATAAACGTGCTAGGACAAAGCCCGAGTCATAGTTTTATTTCATGAGACTGAACTCATTTCATCCTCTACTACAGACGTCCACACCCGATTAACATCACACAGAAAGCGGCTTATTAGCAAGATAATGTATTATGAATGTCTGTATATCTATTGATGGAAAACGATCAATTTCTCTAGCATTAAGGATCCCAGCCTAATACCTGAATTACTGCATATCTGAAATGGCCAGGATTAGACTATTGTGTAAATCATACTGGAACAACTGGATTTATGTCAGTCAGCAAGGTGCTTTTGACAATCTAACGAACCCAGAGATTAAGCCACGAATATAGAGTAATGAAGTGACAGCAAGGTCAGATTTTTTAGTTTGTTGACAGGCGTCTGTTCAAGTAATATCTGGATTAGGTGATATGAAATCGCCAGGATTAGGATGTTGTAAATCATACTGGAGCTACTTGATTTATGACATTTGGTAATATGCTTTTGATGGCTCAGTCTAACCCTGAGAGTAATTCATGAATATAGATTTATAGCAACGAGGGAGTTTTACCCCTTTGAGCCCCTTCTTTTTGGCACTTTTTGCCTACTTATCACTTCATAGATAATATTTCAAGACATATAGTGGGTGGAGCATTAAGGAGATAAAACTGTGTTGCTTAGCCTTGACTTGAAAGTTATGTGGAGTACCACCTTCATCCGATGTGCTAGGTATAGTTGGGGTCCTAATCACTTACAGCACCAGAGAACTTTGACCTCTGAAACATTAGACCAGTACTCAGGTGTCATAGGAATGGTGAATGAAAATTGAATTTTGTCTCTCCCTTTTGTTCTGTCTTGCAAAAGTACATGTATGAATTTTTTTTTTTTCTAAGTAGCCTGTAACTATAGATAGATATATATATATTCTGCAAATTATATTTAATTATGCCGTTGTATAATGTGCTAAATTACACACACAAATAAGTGACTGATGAGTTTGTTTTAGCTGATTTGCATTTGTTTGGGAAAAGTTTATTTATTGAAAAAGAAAGAAAAAAAAATGACTGGATAAAAATTAGTCTAACCTACCTTAAGATACAAAAACTTGATTATGTACCATGAAGTGTTTAAATTCCTGAACAATTAGGGTTTTGCTACTGTTTGAAGCAAGTAGAAAGTAGTTGTAGTGTTAAAATGTGTATTTTTTATGATCATGAAACCACAAATATCCAGTTAGGAAGGAGTATAAGCACCGTCCTTCCAAGAATATACATGAAGGATGTTTATTAACCTCTTTGCTGTAGTGTCATAGATTCTGTGATGATAACAATGTCCATTGTATACCAAGTGGGTGAATAAACAGGCTCAAGACCATTTATTTGACATCATTTATTATACACTAGGTAGAAATCAGCTGCATATATTTGTAGTGGCACCTCACTTCCCAGCCCTCTCTACCGCTGATCCAAATCTGTTTGTTGACAAGGTGAGAGGTGGAAGATACAGTAGTTGTCTGTGAAAGCCATTGTTGTCATATACCCCCCCTCCCCCCAAAAAAAAGTACAAATGGTACATACCCTATATTTCTTGGAGGCATATTGAAGAACAGAAAGGGTTATTTCATTTCTACAAGGATTAGTATCTTATCCATATCCTTGCTACATCTCCTACTCTTGCTGACACCCACTCATGCTTATGCCTATATTTATGCTCACTTACACTTCCTTCCTTCCTTCCTTTGTTCATCCCTTTTTTCTGTCTGTCTCTCTGTCTGTATTCTCATGGCATAACTGTTGTCTAGGGTAACTCTTAACACGCAACTTAAATTTTTAGGTGATTATATTATTTACCAGATTTTACAACAGGGGAAGAGTTAAATCTCTTAATTTCTGTTAAGTAACAGTTTTTGATGGGAACATTGTATATTTTTGCTGGAGTACTTTTACTTTGTAACTTTTGCAGATGCCAGATTACTTTCCTTATAATTTAGTGTCCTTATTTATTTATTATTGTTATTTTTTTCTTGAACTTGATATCTTTCTTTAATATTGCTTTTTTACATCTTGTTTTTGTGTATAACTTTAATTTTGTTTTTATTTCAGATTTCCTTAATTTGCAGTTTCTTTCGTGAGAGTAGTAGAAAGCAATGTTTCTAATTTTTTTTCTTATGTCCCTCTACAGATATTGATGTTTGGCTACTAGAATAAGATCAAGATAACCATGGGGTCGTTGTTCCGCAGTGAAGAGATGGCGCTATGCCAACTCTTCCTTCAGAGTGAATCGGCATACACTTGCGTGTCCGAGCTTGGAGAACTCGGACTGGTGCAGTTCAGAGATGTAAGTTAATACGAAGTAGATTGTTATTAATTATGCTTCAATGTTTTATGATTTAGTACTAGCTAACCCTACCCCCACCACCCGAAAGAGGAAGAAGACAAAAGTACCAATGAATAATTTTTTCCAGCTCAACCCAGATGTGAATGCATTCCAACGCAAATTCGTGAATGAAGTCCGCCGCTGCGATGAGATGGAGAGGAAGCTCCGCTACCTGGAGAGGGAGATCCGCAAGGATGGGATTCCAGTGCTGGATACCGGGGAGAATCCCGAGGCTCCCATGCCGAGGGAAATGATCGACTTAGAGGTGAGGGTCTTGGGAAGGAATCTCGCAGGCAAAGACATCATTCTTAATCCTTCATTGTGTTGGTTGAGTTTTGTGTGTGGGACTTTTAGTTTTAATTTATCATGCTCTTGGGATGCCATGTTTTATTTGTATTTAATTTCAAATACTTAAAAAAGCTTCATTACTGATGTCTTTGATCATAGACATCACTGGTTATTGTTCTTTAAGCTCTGACACAGTTGGCAATATTTTTTGCAGTAACAAATCTTGAAGATTTTAAGGCCTACAGTATAATGGTTTTTAAAATTTAATTTATTGGCAAGTGATAATAACATCAATCGTCAACAGGCGACATTTGAGAAACTCGAGAATGAGCTGAAAGAAGTGAACAGCAATGCCGAAGCTCTCAAGAGGAATTACTTGGAGTTGACGGAACTGAAGCACATCCTGAAGAAGACCCAGGTTTTCTTTGACGAGGTATGTTGTAAACCATTCTTCTCGCGTCTCTGTGTGTCGTGTCTATCTGCTAGGTTGGTTTCCCTTTCTGTAAGTGCTTTAGAGGGACTGATGCTGTTAGCAATATTTACCTTAACAGTGATAAAGTAAATTTCTTTCTGATTGCTCTTGAAAATATTTCTTTTTTGCTAACTAATGTGGGGTTTTGAGCTTTTTGTTATTGCAGTGTGGCTGTAATTTCTGGTTGGTTTTTGAGTAAACTGTAGTTGCTGTAAAAGTCAATAGTCAGTGGGTTGTGTGATGGCTATCACTTTGAATTTGCTTGAGGTGTGATCTTAGTTAATGATTTTAATGTCAGTTTTTTTTCTTGTTTAAGAGATGTCATACTTATTTAGATTTTTCTTTTCTTAGCAATTGGAAAACCACTTGGACAAAAAAATATATAATAATGAAAGAGGATGAGATTACATACAAGACACAGAAAGATCTTTTATGTAAGTGATATAGATCATATTTATTCATTTTTTCCATTATTATTGTTTCTGTCCATGTGGTGAAGATATTTTTGGAACTTGAACATTTCTTGATATTTTTTCTGATACCAGATGAAAGTTTTGATACTGTTTCTAATATTAGCATCTTTTTACATGTATACTCTATTACTGATTGATGTCAAACTTCATCTACAAGATGGCTTTAGTTGTTCTTATTAATGTCAAAATTTTGATTTTCTTTATCTTGTGCTTCTATGTTGCATATAAAAAGTCTATACTAAATCTTTCTTTCTTTGTAAAGCAATTCCATGTGTCCTTTGTGTTTCTAGAATGCTCAGAAGGTTAATGCATTAGCTCCTTTTTGAGGAGAGGAACTTGTAAAAGAAGATCAAATTGAATAGAGTGTGTTTATTTTCAAATTAAAGAAATAATACTAGAAAAGAAGGAATAATCACATATTGAAATATTGTCAGAGATAGAATCTAATGACTAGGAACATAGAGTAGTAAATTTTCATTATAAACTCTGCCTGTACTGAACAAGGAAGCCATCTTATAATGGTATTTGATATGGTTTGTGTGAGATTTATGGCATTGTAAAATTTGTATTGTGCTTAATTAAACTCCATTGCCAATCATGGACCCCAGGTAAATAGAAAAGACAATTTATAACTAATACATGTGGGTGTGTGCAAACTTGTCCTGTGTTATGGAAGCTCTCACAAATGGGAAAGCATAGAGCTAAACAAAACAACAACAAAAAGATACAAAGAAAGTTGGTTGACGTGGGATTTTGTGGTGACTTTAGTGTGTACACTTTGGTTAGTCCAAACATGTTTAGTATACTTCATTATCATATGTATATTTACTACTTTTTTTTTTCTTAGATGAAATATGTGTGGAACTATATTATTTCAAGTGTAAAATCGACTAGATAGTGTAGTCATGAATTAACATTCACAACATATTTTATGGTAGGTGTAAGTTTCTTGAGTAGGATTTGCAGTTTTTGTGACTTGTATGCAGTATCTTGCAAGGCATTTGGTAAGTTTGAGTTGACTTTCAATCATATGCAAATTCCTGACTCCTGTGTAACTGTTCTTTGCATTTTCCCCCTTTAGATCTGCAAGCCATGGAACTAAGTAATTTATTTTTTTAAAAGATTTTTTTATACAAGTGTTATTTTTCGACAATTAGAATAGGGGACTAGACCACAGATAAAAAGTCATTAGAAAATAGGACTAGTGCTAAATACACGACTTTAGATTGCCTCTCATATGTATGTTGTAATAAATGTGTTGCAAGGTTCTGCTCTTACCTGATTTACATAAACATAACGGTGATAATGGCATCATCCGCGTTTGCTGGTATTTGTAAAAGCATTTCCAATGTATTT